GTGCATTGTTTACCAGTGTAGTTGGTTAACCCTTACGTCGGAAGCACCATTTTTTTTTCTCCCACTTAAAAAAGGGCTTTCTGGTAGCGACATAAACTACGTTTGAATGGGCTGGGTTGGCTTGTTTGCTGTAAAGCTGTCAGTTTGGAGTGGAGCCCAGAGCAAGAAGAATCTCTGCAGCTGGTCCAAGCTGAAGTTAAAGCTACTCTGCTCCCCAGGCTTCCTGACTGGGAAGGTCCAGTGACACCCAGGATGTCTCTGTGGCAAGTAGAGACATTGCACACAGCCCCTGGTGGCCCCCGAGAGGAGACTCTCAGGGTTTTGGAAATAAATCCTTTCCCTCTTTGAGAAATAGCTGCTGCTCCTGACTTGCTACCAGTCCCTGGTGGACGTGAACCTGGCAAGGATGCGCCAAGTGAATATTTGACCAGAACTGTCCTTTGGATCCTTTGATGTTTTATCAGAAAGTTGTTTGTTCAAAAGTATCCACCATCCAGCGACAGCGGGATAAGGACTCGGGAGGTGACCGAAGGCACATGTATATACCCCGTGCCTCTGACTATGTTGGCATGTACTTCTGCGGCTCCAGTCTCTTACCCTCAATCCACACCTGGTCCCCTGGGGAGTTCCCTTTGATCGACTGACTGAAAAGGCAAGCGTGTCAGCGTGGTTCACTGGCAGGTTTGCAGGATAGGCTGGTACTGGCAGGAACTGGGCTATTGCAGCGGGGCCGTCCCCCTCCGAGGTGGCCCAGGGCCTTGTGGAAGGCAAATCTTCCCAAAAGGAGGACTGCAAACAGTGCGTCTGATTCTTTGCTTTGCTTGGAAGGAGAAAGGGCCAGAGACATGGATGGAGGGGAATTAATGCGTAGTGACCAGCACCTTGGCCAGAAGTTCAGCAGGAATATTGGAGGACTGGTGGAACGCAGATCTGGGACAGGGTTTGTGCGCAGACGTCTAGACTAGTGACGACCATGAGACTCCTCGGTTACAGGGGAGGAGCGCTGTCCATGGTCAGCAGACAGGACGACGCAGACTCAGACAGCTTCTCCTCACCAGCTCAGAGCTGCTCGCGGGGCTCACGAACAAAGTGGCAGCAATGCAATGATTTCAGGAACGTGGGCTTCCCCTCACCAACGGTGATCTGATGGCTGCCAAGGGAGGGATTCAACCTGGTCGTCCTTCTGAGATTGAATGGAGATCATCCCAAGACAGAGACAGTGATTGATAGAACTCTGGGGAGACGGTGAGGCACGCAAGCCCTCAGTACAGAACCTCCCCCCAGATGGGCCAGCCAGCTCCCCGGGGCAGCGGACAGCTTTGGACCCCTTCCCCACCAGAGTCGACTCTTACTCTGTGTGTGGACCTGCCTTCCCTGGCTCTGGTTCTTCTGCAAGCTCTACCATCCGTGAACTTCCCATCGTAATAGCCATCGAGCTTCCTGTATGCCATCCTTCATGACTAAAGAACCCTTTTTTTTGGGGGGCAAATGAAGTGGAGCAGTGGGCTTATGCCTACACTGCTCATTGGTTTTACGTGGAATTCCCTTAAATGCCCTCCAACCTACGTGCGGGGAGGTCTCCAGTGTCCCGGCATTGTTGGCCTTACAGCTTCGTTGTTCAAAGGAGTAACAGTGTAGGAATGAAGTCATTGATTTGATTTTTGTTATTTAGTGGTCTGACTGGTTTGTAAGTAGTTATTTCCCTTTCCATTTGACTTACTATTTTTCTCTTACAGTTATGCCCTTAAAATGAGGTATAAAAATCCAGCATTAACCGAGTCAGTGTTGATTGTTATTTTAAGGATTGTTTTAATGTGGGGCTCAACATGAGAATATTACATAAGCCAGCATCAGTGATTTTCACTGACATTTACGAAGGAGGTTAGTTCTTTAATCAAATAAGGATATTAAGAGCTGGACTTAAAATCCCATTTAGATTCTGATTTTGTTTAGGGTGTTTTTTCAGGCCAAATAACTTTATGTATTTTTAAGGATTCTAAATCAACAACCAGATATTAGAGACGGAAACTTTTTCAAATGCCTTGTCAAAAGTCTTTAAGATTATTTATGGAAATATTTAGCAATGTGGTTTTAGGACTTTGGTCAATTCTGTATTGCTTTGATTACATTTAAAAAAGACTTAGTGTCAAAACATGACTGGCTAAAAATTTAAGCAAAAGCATACTTGGAGTAAGAGAGAACTTGTATTACAATAACTGAAATTTTTTTTATGAGATGTCTTCGGTAAAAATGCATAGATCATCAGAGAACAATGTCGGCCAGATAAAGACATACTATTAATATAAACAGTTAAATGTTCTGACCTAAACGTGGTACACTCAGGATAAAATTAGAGTCGAAAGTTAAACAAAATAGAGCAAGTAACTTAAAAAATATGTAACCTAGGGGTTAACATAAGCTATTCTGAAATGAACATATGAAATGCACAAAATGGGCAAGCTAAAGGTGAGTGTTACAGGCATCTGAAAAATTTATTTTGCTTCTCCCGAAGGAAAAAAAAAAAACATAGTTCAGTATAATCTTTGCCATAATTGGAAATAAAGCTTGAAGGGCAAAAGCGTAGTGGCTCTAATGCAGAAAACTTACACCTGTGCCTTTTCATCATCTGAGCTAACAATATATAATCCGGCAAAAAAGCTGTGTGAGCTTTGTCACTGACCAAAGCAGGACAATTTTCCTGGCACGGGAAGCGGTCGAATGGATGCTAAAAGCCTCGGCATTCCCGGACCTGGGAGCCAGGAGGATTTGAATCAAGCCCCAGGACTTTCAGCGATGATATGACTTTGAGTGAATAGTTCACCTTCCTGAGCCTTGGTTTCCTTGCATGGGAGGCAGGGAGGATGACCTGTGTGCAGACACCCTGAATTATGAGAACCAAATGGAAACCCTGGCACATGCTGTTGAAATCAATCAATGAATGAAGATATATAAAAGGCGTTTTGTAGATTACAAAGCCCCAGATGCGAGTGGCTTATGACTTGTTCTAGCCCAAGCTTACAATCTGATCTGAGAAACACTTTTTTTTTTTAATTTAAAGAAGAATGCCTGGCTAGAGTATTTTTTCTGTTTGGATGCAGGCTGTTTTCCACATAAATGTATGCAGCAGCAGGAAGTTAGGCTGGCTGTCACCTACTGGATGGCATTTGTTGAGTTGACATCATTTTCTCTAAAAAAGTGGTGCCTCGTGACCAACCTTCAAGATTCGGTA